AGAGATCTTTCCAGCTTGAGCTTGTTTGTTTGTTGAAGTTGATTTTTGAAAATAAGGGTCACACAGGTAATATGAGTTTTTTTTTCTTCACTCTGCAACCTTTTAATTCAGGGTAGGATTTACTTTTTTAGTGGTATACATAGATTATTTTGTTTTTATGAATGAATGAAACAAATAAATAGACATCTCTTAATATATTTTGACAATTCAAATAGCCTATTTAAGATATCTCTAATTATATTCTGACTTGTATACTGTAAATAACATTAAATTTATCGTTAAGTTGTAGGAAGACTCCAGTTCAAGATATCTTAAATGTATCTTTAGATATGAGATAGGCTATATAAGATTCAATTAATGCAAATTTCAGACTTTTTCATGTTCTGTAACTTGTATTTAAAACAAAGCTGMTGCRGTTGATCATTCTGTTTTTATAAGCAGCCCTCCCAAGACCAGTACTCTGTGTAAACACTTGAAAGATCTAAAAAAGGTTTTAGAAGTTGTTTTTGATAAAACAATCGACTGACTGTTGGTGACATGTTTGCATCTGTTTAATCAGATGTCATTTATTATGTACTTCTATATAACCATGTTAATATTTTTTGTAGTATAAATACGGTACACGTTTTTCTTATATTTTATCAAATTTTGAACATTTTTGTTTCGGGCAGGTAACCTTTCACCTCGGGCAGGTACCATTTTTCATCGGGCAGGTAAAAATAATAATCTTGTCGAACCCTGCGTAGGGCTAACTTTTACTGTTTTCTATTTTGCAAACTGTGTAGGCACCATGTCACATTAACTATAACGTATCAGAATAGGATGACATTATGGCTCTAAATTATTTGAAATCATCCAGCTGGTATGCMAACCTGGAATCTACGTCTGCAGGGAATGTTTCACACATGTATGACTAATGTTCGACTAAAACGAGATGATTTTTTTCTTAAAATAAAATCTTTTCCTGAACAAATGTACCACTCCAGTAGTTAGGAAACCTGCTGTGTCCTCAGAGAAGAAGYCTTGATTAGCTTAACTTTACCCCACTTTGAGATAACCTGTAAAATCAAATATCTGACTAAATGGGGGGGGGGGGGGACAACAAAATAATCATCTCTGATGAGGTCAAGAGGCAATAAAAGATTATTCACAGCTTCTTACTGTCTCAAGTTAAAATTGCAGAAGTTGGATTAGAGTCAGTGGGACTTCTCTTTGAATAAACAAGATTCATCCCTGCAGGCATCTATGCACTAATGTCAGACATATTTGCTTGGTTTATATGTTTTTTGTTTTAGACTGCAGCTAAAAATCTTTTCTGAATGACTAAAAAAACTGGAATGATAGTTATATATATATATACTTTAGCCTAATATAAGAGGATAAAATACATTCAGGTTTAATTGAGACAATGCACATTAGAATAAATAAATTAAATTTTGTTCATTGCTTTTACAAATATTTTCCACAGTTTATACAAAACTTTAGTTTTTCTCAGTTGTTTACACACATTTTGTGGTACTTGAGACAAATAGACCACAACTTAAACACAGTTTTTTTTGTTACACACTGTAACTGTATACAGACAATTCTTCTGTTGTTTTGTACGTAGACCACTGTATGTGCAACTGTGTGTTGGTTGGGATGAACACTGTGTACATAGTTTTAGTGGGAAAAATGAAAWATATTTGTGACTGTATATTTGTGTGTTCCAAGTATAAAAACAATATTGTAAAATATTTTCTAGCACACTTATGTGTGTACTGTCCRTAGTAAGTGTAACACTGAACAAAAAATGGTTAGTCATGATGATGAATACTGTTTTTTGCACTGAGCTCATCAGTGTCCAACATGTTCTTATAAACGTCTGTTCACATGATGGTTTGAGTGTCAACTAAAGCAAAATACCATTTTCAGAAGAAACTGTAAAGTTTCATTTTGCAGGAGTTTTGAGGGGTTTTGTCCACGGTGCGTTTGATTTTAGATTTGAGTGTAGAGTTCTGAGAGCATGAAGCACGCTTTCAGAAAATGTGTGTAAACAATGGAGGAAAACCGTAATACCCTCCGCCCTCGTCTCTCACCTGGCACGGTGACAAAAAACTTGACGGCATCTCGGTGTCCATGGAAACAAAGCTGGGCATGGGCCATGGAGCAGTACGGCACGAAGCTGCCCAGTGCATCTGAAGAGTCGTCACCGTAAACCCGAACGGCACTGCCGGGTCGATTTGGCACTGCTCCCGTTGTCTTGTTGGCTGAAGAATAAAAAGATAAAAGCTGATGATGAGGAAAATATGCAGCGGGTCTGATTTACATTTGAGTTGTCAAAACAATGAAAGTTTTTATTTCAAAAAATAAAATACTGTTACTGTTGAGACAAAGAACTCATGAAAACGAAAGAGCTGTTGTACCTTCAGACAACGGGATGGAGATGATGACTCCGTTTCCTGTTCCCACCCACAGGCGGCTGCAGGACACCACCAGAGCTGTGATTCTCACAAAAGAGAAACCCAGTTTACCCGTACCTGCAACACAGACCAGAATAAGAAGCTCAGAATCTATTTATGAGAACGTGTAGTTAATCTAGATCACAAATCAAACTGAAGGACCCCATTGTTGTTGTTGTTTTACTTAATATGAAAATTGCTTCTTATATTGATRGTAAACTTTAAATTTATGATTAAGTGCAACAAAATAAATTTAAAACGTGAAAGATAATAATTGTCTTGCCCCTGACCTTTAAGTAACTGAGCAGTTTAGTTGGATAGCACAGTATTAATGTCTCAGTGGTTAATGAGTATCAGTGAGAGAAACTCTATTAGTTTTATTTTTAATAATATTTCTGTATTTATTTCAGATTTAGTCAGTCATACACTTAGTTCTTTTTGGTGTTTAAAAGAGGACGTGTTAAAGGGGCAATATCATGTAAAATCARCTTTTTTGAGTTTTATGTTATGTTATAATGTTATACTCTCATAAAAAAAACCATTCCCAAAGCCTTGCTTTGACTCATTCATGCATGTTTGAGAAATCCTGCAGTGTTTTTATGAAGCCATGCTGAGGAGCAAAACGACAGGTGGGGACTAGAAACGCCTTATGGGGCCAGAAACGCCCCTGAGACGTGTCTGTAAGCAGAATTTCCTCATGGAAGAGCGCACC